TCGGGATGTGTATTGCACATATTCGCCATCATCACCGATAATGTTTAGTATGAAATTTTCCAGTAGATGGCAGGCAAGCATCTTGAAAAGCAGGCAGCTTTTTATAAATTGCACAAAGGAATCGTTTGGGCCTTCAGAGGCTATGGACAGGAGACTCAACATTTTATTAAAATGTTAAATACAGTTCTTTAAGGGACAGACTATGGATATTTAAAGAAGAGGAAGAGATCAAGATATCACAAGTTGCTTTGAGGTAGAGGTTCAGGATTCACCTTATGGAGAAGACCTTTGAGGGTAGGTGAAATTTCAACTGAGAAAGATGTTTGGAGGGCATAGTGGGGGATCAAGACAGGAGGTACCACATAACAGGCAAAAGTCATGCAGATGGAGGTCACTTTAAGGGAACTCCGTAGTCTTGCTGCACTGCTGTGTAGTAGATGACTATCCTAACAAATACATGTGCATACATATGACTATATACACATAGTGATAAGAAGGAAATATTCTTATCTGGAAAACTGTAGCACTGTCCTCCCGTTGATCATCGATTTGCTCGAGCGGGCCCAGTAACCTCCATTGTGAGACTTGTAGTTACTGTGTTTGGCATATCAAATACATCATGGCTAGCTTGCCAGGCTTGCTGTGCGGGCGAGATACTCTCAGTAGCTTGCCGGGCTCTCCGAGAGGGGCGGAGCAGTCGAACCCGGGTCGGCCGGGTCAGTTTTGTGCAAGGCAAACGCCCTACCTGCTGTGCTATTACTCCAGCAACAAGTTAGGAATATAAATCTCAACTAAAAGAGGTGCAGAGGATTTCAGAATAGTAATACTCTGTATAATTGATATGTCACATAATGTTAACCCGAGTCAAATCTGTAAAACTTCCTGGGTAAAATTATGCAGTGAAGGTGGTGAACTTAATTCAATGTATTTTTGTTTGTTCTTGTTTGGGGGCCACACTCAGCATGGAGCTGGAGGTTATTCCTAGTGGTGCTCGAGGGGCTTATGTGGTGCCAGGGATTGAACCTGGGTTTCTTGCTTGCAAAACCTGTGGCTCTCGCCTGTTGAACTGTCTTTCTGACCCCTAATGTACATTCAGAAACCTTCAGAGTCAACTGAAATGCTTTGATTTATTAAATTCTGCCCACTTGAGAACTAGAAGTAGAAGGTGGATTAATACTACATTTCTTGATCTCCATGTTAATTGACCTACATTTTCTCTCTCTCATTTTTGAGCCAGAGTTGAAGGTGCTCAAGAGTCATTCCTGGCCATGCTGGCACACAGTATGCAGTCCTGGGGAGCGAATCAGGGTTGGCTGCGTGCTAGGCAAAGGCCTGATCATCTCTACTCTCTCCACGTTCTTTCGGGCTACACCCAGCAATGCTGGGGACTACTCTCTCTCTGCAGAGGAGGTCACTTCTGGCAATATTTGGGGGACCAGTTAATGCCAGAGGTCAAACCCCAGGCTCCCTCATGCAACGCATGCATTCCAGCCCTTTGAACCACATTCCCATCCTAAGTAGAGGCTTTTAATGTGTGTGTGTGGAAGAACCCCAAAGCAGGGTGGTTTGGTTTTTTTCTTGCTTAGTTTTTTGGTTTTGAAGCAGAAATGTAGGAGTTGTTTCTGGTAGGTCTATGCTGTATCCTACCTCCCATTTTTCTTTTATAATTTTTATGCTGTTTGATATGAAGGGTAATATCTAAGAAGAAATTTCCCCTCTCATCATCTATTTGGCTAATTTTACATTTGTCTTCCCATAACAGGCGTTCCATCATCTTCCTCTGAAGACCTAGCCATCTTACTCCATGAAGGTCAGGACAATCTGACATGCACTTGTTTCTTGCCTCTTTACCCGAAGAGTAGTCCTCTTCCATTGTGTACATTTTTTTCTTAATAGGGGAGGGGAGGGGAGAGCCAGAACCCCCCCTCCCCTTCCCTCCCTAGACCTTGGTCAAGTACCCTCCATTGATTTTCCAAGATGGCAGACCCCATCATGGATCTCTTTGATGACCCAAATTTATTTGGCCTGGACTCTCTGACTGATGACAGCTTCAATCAGGTCACACAAGATCCCATTGAGGAAGCCCTTGGACTGCCAAGCTCTCTGGACTCCTTGGATCAGATGAACCAGGATGGTGGAGGTGGTGATGTGGGCAGTTCATCAGCAAGTGACTTGGTTCCCCCACAGGAGGAAACAGCCCCCACAGAACTTCCCAAAGAATCAACAGCTCCAGCTCCAGAATCTTTAACTTTGCATGATTATACCACTCAGCCTGTCAGCCAGGAGCAGCCAGCCCAACCTGTCTTACAGACACCGACGCCAACATCAGGACTTTTGCAGGTCTCCAAGGGCCAGGAGATCCTGAGCCAAGGGAATCCTTTCATGGGTGTCTCTGCCACAGCTGTCTCTTCCAGTAATGCTGGAGGACAAACACCTCAGTCAGCCCCTAAAATTGTTATTCTTAAGGCCCCACCAAGCTCCTCAGTCACTGGTGCCCATGTGGCACAAATTCAGGCCCAAGGTATCACCAGCACTGCTCAGCCCCTGGTGGCGGGCACAGCCAATGGTGGAAAAGTCACTTTTACCAAAGTGCTGACCGGCACTCCCCTTCGACCAGGTGTTTCCATTGTCTCTGGTAATACAGTGTTGGCCGCCAAGGTCCCTGGGAACCAGGCTACTGTTCAGCGCATTGTCCAGCCCAGCCGACCAGTAAAGCAGCTGGTCCTACAGCCAGTTAAGGGTTCAGCTCCTGCTGGAAACCCTGGGGCCACAGGGCCCCCACTGAAGCCTGCAGTTACACTGACCTCTACACCTACCCAGGTGACTTGAGTGAAAGGGGGAGGTAAATTTTGGTTTAATAGAGGGCCCGGCAACCGTAAGAGAGAACATGAGAGCTATCTCTGAAAGATCGTGTTTAATTTCCTATTTGCTTTTTATCAGTTAGTGTTGGCAGCCACATTCTCACTATTTATTAGGTGGAAGCCTATAGCGTTATGTTTTGAGCTCTTACTGCACGTTTATGTCCTACTGAGCTGTGCCAGACAAGACAGCGTGTCCTTACAGAGCTTACAGTCTGCCAGAACAAGCAGACACAAAATAACAATTCACAGAGTGACAAAGTTTTATGAGCATTATAGGATGCTGCAGGAGAGAAGCATTTTTGAAAAAAGTATATTTGCTAACTTAAGAGAAACTATTCTCTCTCCCCTGTTTTTAATAGAAAAATGATTCTCTACCTACTTTTCCCAGTGAAAAGGCTAGTTTCTACTGTACACCAATATAGGTTCTAGCCTCTGAGTAAAGCACCAAAAAGACTTTGGGAATGACTGCGTGTGGGAAGATGGAATATTAGGATAAGCAGGAAAGTGGGACGAAGCCTTAAGGAGGTGTTTCTAATAGATTAGTATTTCAGGGAAGTAGAATAGTTTTAGAGAAATAGAGAGTATGTATCTGCTTCTCAGGTTGAGATGCAAGTGAACCTGTAAGGTAGAGAAAATGCTTCTCTCTTTTTAAACATTTTTTTGAGGTGCTGAGGATTGAACTCAGGTTTTATGCATGCAGGTGCTCTATCACTGAGCCACATCCCTGGCCCACTTCAAACAGGTTTTTAAGAGATAAAAGAACTTCCCTGTAAGATAGTGAGCTACTTATAAGTCTTCAAAACTGAGTAGAGGTCTATCAGAACAGGAGGATAAGCAAAATTGAATCTTCTGATCCTCAGTTTTTTTGATTATAGGATAAGGAAAAATGGCATAAGGATGTATCATTCTTCAACATACTCTTGCAATTTCCTTTCTCTAGGGTGAATCGAAGCGCATCACCCTGGTCCTCCAGCAGCCACAGTCTGGAGGTCCCCAAGGACATCGGCATGTCGTGTTAGGGAGTCTACCAGGCAAGATAGTGTTACAGGGCAACCAGCTGGCAGCCCTGACTCAAGCCAAGAATGCCCAGGGGCAGCCCGCCAAAGTAGTAACTATCCAGCTGCAGGTGCAGCAGCCACAGCAGAAAATCCAGATCGTACCACAGCCGCCGACATCCCAGCCCCAGCCCCAGCAGTCACCCTCCACCCAGCCAGTGACCCTCTCCTCTGTGCAGCAGGCTCAGATAATGGGACCAGGACAAAGTCCAGGACAGAGACTTTCAGTACCACTCAAAGTGGTATTGCAGCCACAGGTGAGACTTCCACAGGAAACAAACCTCAACACCTTTGTTGTTGAATATGGAGAGGTGTGCATTTGTACTTTGGACCTTAGTCGGGGATTTTGTTTCTTTCAGCCCAGGAAACCTCATTTCCTTATTTACTTTTGTTCTGTATGACACCCTTGAAAGTGCTTAGGACCATATGTGGTGCTGGAATTAGAACCCAGGCTGCCACATGCAAAGCTCATTGCGATGTGTATTTGGCTCCTACAGAAATAATATTAGGGATCAGAGTGATAGTTTAGAGAGCAGGGCATTTGCCTTGCATGCACCCATCTCAGGTTCAATCCGCAGCACCCCATATGGTCTCTGGAGCATCTCTAGGAGTGATCCCTGTGCACCAAGCTAGGAGTAATCCCCGAGCACGGTAGTATGTGGGCCAAAAGAGAGAGGGAGCGAGGGAAGGGGGAAGGAGAGGTGGGGAGAGAGAGAGAGAGTGCGAGAGAGAGCGAGCGAGCAGGGGAGAGGGACAGAAAGGAGGGAGGGAGGGTAATAGGGATTTAGTCCAAGTATTAAGGCACATGCCTAATATGTATCCAAACCAGCTTTGGTTCCTAGTACCACATGGTCATTTTGAGCCCCAAGCAGCTAGGGATATATAGCCTTGGACAGTCCCTGTTCTGCTGGGTGTGGCCCTGGAGGCCACAAGCACCACTAGCATTCTGGGCATCTCTGGTACTCTGTGGCCCAAGAAGCATCGTCCTCAGGTCCTTGCATTGAACTACCGGCCTGGTTCACAGAGAATTGCAGGCAGGGCCTCCAGACCTGAACATCATACAGGAGATACCCCCCTCCCCCATCTCCAATAAAGAATTTTAAAAGGATATTGCTTCCGAGATGTTTGAGTGGTATAGACATAGCAGGGGAGGTCCAGCAGGCTGTGCTTCTCCCCTGGCATGGTTTTATTTCATACCTTCGCATCTTTAAAAAAAATAAAAAAGATTTAAAAAAATCGAATAATCTTAACAAGGTCAAGCGATTATCAGCCCCACAGGGAGCTGATAGATCTTGGCCTAAAGATAGGCCAAGATTAGAATTTGAATTTTGTTACTTTCAGCCCATAGAGCAATAGTTGCTGTATTTTTTTTCTTTGTCCCTAAAACAATAGGTATGATTTTTGATACTAGGAACATGGCTATTGGATATTATATTAAAATTTAATTGCCACAATTCTTTTTTTTTTCTTTTTGGGTCACACCTGGTGATGCACAGGGGTTACTCCTGGCACTGCACTCAGGAGTTACTCCTGGCGGTGCTCAGGGGACCATAAGGGTTGCTGGGAATTGAACCCGGGTTGGCCGTGTGCAAGGCAAACGTCCTACCCGCTGTGCTATCTCCCCAGCTCCGAATTGCCACAATTCTTGCAAATTTTTACTTGAAACAATTTTTTGGGGGTTGGACTGATATTTGTGCCTTATGCAGCTTTGTTCAGGGCATGCTACTGGCATTTGGGAGACCACATATGGTGCCGGGGATCATTCTGGGATCAGCTGCATATTAAGTCAAGCACCTTAACCCCTGTGCTATTTCTCCCATCCCGTCTCTTCCTTCTAATTTTTTAAAGATGTCTGGATTTAATAAGACTTGTACTGAGTCTGATTCTTGAGGAATTCAAGAAATGATAGATCTTGGCCTAAAGATAGACCAAGTTTTCAGCTTAACCATTTTAAATATGAATTTTATTTAGGCAGTGTAATTATAATGATACTAACATTTTAGTGTCTTTCGTTTTGTAGGCTGGCTCTTCCCAAGGGGCTTCGTCTGGGCTCTCTGTAGTTAAAGTTCTAAGTGCCAGTGAGGTGGCAGCCCTGTCATCACCAGCCAGCTCTGCTTCACATACTGGGGGCAAGACTGGAATGGAGGAAAACCGCAGACTCGAGCATCAGAAGAAGCAGGAGAAAGCAAATCGCATTGTGGCAGAGGCCATTGCCAGGGCCCGTGCCCGGGGGGAACAGAACATCCCACGAGTCTTGAATGAGGATGAGTTGCCCAGCGTTCGGCCTGAGGAGGAAGGTGAAAAGAAACGCAGGAAGAAGGGCAGTGGGGAAAGGCTCAAGGAAGAAAAGCCAAAGAAGAGTAAGACATCTGGAGCCTCTAAAACCAAAGGCAAGAGTAAGCTGAAGTGAGTACCACCCTTGCTATTTCTATGGGTTGCTTGAGAGAGGTGCCCTCATCTCAAATCTTAAATCAGTGCCAAGAGGAACTTTAGAGTACCTTTTTTTTTATTTTTCTTTTTTGGGGTCATACCCAGCGATGCTCAGGGATTACTCCTGGCTTTGCACTCAGGAATTACTCCTGATGGTGCTCGGGGAACCATATGGGATGCTGGGAATCGAATCTGGGTTGGCCGCATGCAAGGCAAATGCCCTACCTGCTGTGCTATCGCTCCAGCCCTAGAGTACCTTTAAGTACCTTTAGACACTTCTGTTAATCGGATACATAGTTCAGGATGATTTGTATATCTCATAAGGTAATGAGCCCTTTCTTCCTCTGTCCTAATGTTTCTGTGACTTGTAAATAGAAATGAGCAGATTTGAAAGAGAAACTGTAAGGCACTGGAAGAATAGCCCATTGTTGTGCTTACCATTAAAAGCTGTGACTGTTTTATGTATTGTTCCAGGTTGTCTGTCACTGGTGTGAAGATTCCGCCCTCCTCCTTCCACACACCAGTGCAGGAGAGGAGTGCAGCTGTTGACATAGCTCCTCTGTTCTTCTCTCTCTCTCAACTCTGAGCTGCAGAACTTGATTCCAGCAGCCCCTGTCAGCTCTGAGCAGTGTTGACAGAACCGTGACCTACCATGACCTAAAAAAACATAATTTTCACCACAATTGAGTGTCCTCTTCCCTTCCCATGTCTTGGTTGTAGCTTCACTCTTTTCCTTAGCTGCTACTTGGGATTGGTTAGACTTTGTGGCATAATTATACTACCACTTTGTACAGGATTTTTCAGCTTGAAAAAAAAATAACCCAAATTTCATATCTGAATTCATTAGATGTTCAGTAGCTATCAGGCTAATTTACCTTCATCACTGTTCACAAATAAGGAATGCCTTATTTCAGTGTGGAATAAGGCCTATAATTCTTTTTTCTTTTTCTTTTCCTTTTGGGTCACACCCAGCCATGCTCAGGGGTTACTCCTGGCTTTGCACTCAGGAATCACTCCTGGCAGTGCTCAGGGGACCATATGGGATGCCTGGGATTGAACTCGGGTTGGCCATGTGCAAGGCAAATGCCCTACCCACTGTACCATGGCTCCGGCCCAAGGCCTGTAATTCTAAGTCGAGGATTTATTCTGCAGTCTTTGGCTGCCTTCCTTTAGGTGTTTGTGAATAATACTAGGAAGAAAGATCTGTCAAATCTGGTGTAAAAGTCATTTGGTAATTTTGAAATCCCATAATCTCCTTTTTCTTAAGCCCCTTAATATTGGTTTAGATACTTCTGGATCTGGCATAGATACTGTCTGGAAGTTTTATATGTGATGGTTTAGATTAATAATTTTTTACCTCTTGATTTTTTTCTTATCAGCACCATCACACCTGTGGTGGGTAAGAAGAGAAAACGCAATACCTCATCTGATAATTCAGATGTGGAAGTCATGCCTGCTCAGTCACCCCGGGAAGATGAAGAAAGCAGCATTCAGGTAAAATGGTGTCTAAAACGCTTGTGGAAAAATCATATGTAATTCTGACAGGTGGATCAGGAATAGGTATTGAGAGACCAAAGACTAGTGCACATTGCAAGAGTTAGTAAAGCAGAGTTTGACCTAAAAAATAAAAGAGGGGCTGGGGAGATATCTCACAGGGGTGGAGTGCGTTTTTCGCACTGTATCCTGTGTCCTGAGTATGACCCCTTCAGTACTTACTGGTTGCCTCTAGCACCACCCTGTGTAGTAACTCTCATGGATCCTGAGCTGCATTATTGACATCTGCACTGCCGGGGGTGAATATCAGCTGGAGACCACCCCCACCTCAAAAAAGCGAAATTCTTGGGACTGGAGTGATAGTACAACGGGTAGGGTGTTTGCCTTGCACACGGCCAACCCGGGTTCGATTCCCAGCATCCTATATGGTCCCCCGAGCACTGCAGGAATAACCCCTGTGCATTGCTGGGTGTGACCCAAAAAAAAGCCAAAAAAAAAAAAGGCGAAATTCCTGTATTTTAAGACTTGGCTTTTATTTTGGAGTGGGAAGGAAGGCACACCCAGTGATACTTAGGCTCTGCACCCAGGCATTGCTTCTGGCAGTGTTTTGGGAACCCTGCAAAACAAGAGACCTGGGGCTCCTGCATGCAAAGCGTCCACTTGGCCCCTAAATTTTTGGTTATTTAATTTTGGATTTTTTTTTTTTTGCCACACCCGTGATACTTAACTACTACTGGCTCTGTGCCTAGGAATAATTTTGGTGGTGCTCTTGAAACCATATGCAGAACCAGGGTTAGTAACAAGTAACTGACCTCCTATACTGTTTCTTTAGCCCCATTTTTATCTTTTTAGATAAAAGAGTGTTACTATTTCTTCAAATCCTCATGTTTGAGAAACTGATAAGAAGTCAGCTTCATGTTGCTGTATCAGTACTTTGGTTTCTCCTAGAGTGCTCTAGCTATTTCTTTTGCCTTTTCAGTACCTTAGGATTCTTTTTTTTTTTTTGGTCATTTTTATTTATTTATTTATTTTTTATTTATTTATTTTTTTTAAAAATAGAGAAAGAAAAATTTTATTTTATTTTATTTTTTAAAATTTATTTATTTATTGAATCACCGTGGGAAAAGTTACGAAGCTTTCAGGTTTAGGTCTCAGTCATGCAAATATCAAACACATTTCCCTTTACCAAAACTTATTTTTTACCATGAAGAACCCCAATAAAACCCCACCCCCCAGCCCTCCCAGTCCCTGTGGGGCAGATGAATTCTAGTTAACACTCTATCTGCTTTGATTAGATTCACTGTTTCAATAAAAGATTCACCACTATTATTTAGAGTTTACCCCCCCTCCCCCCAAATCAGACATGCTGAAAAAGCATTGTGAAGTGATTTGCTTTCTACAGCTGGGTTCAAGAATTAAATGTTGGTTTTGGATTTCTGCTATTTTACTTATTGACCCTGGAAGTATTTCTACTGAAAGTCAGATAGTTAAGAAATTGGTTTCTGTGCTCTGGAGTCGTGGCCGTGCTAGAGAGCTGCTCGTGGGGGGCAACTGGTGGCCTCGGTAGGGCGTGAAGGGCGGACCGAAACGCCCCCCTTCCCATGAGGTTTTAGTCGCCCCCAGTCCCCCGGCTCATACCTGCTGTCCACAAGGCTCCCATGCAGCCGCAGTACCTTAGGATTCTGAATTTCATCTGAGGTGCTTAGACACGAAGTTGTGTCCTACAATTTAAAGATAAAAGATAGGTGCTGGAGCAATAGCACAGCGGGTAGGGCGTTTCCCTTGCATACGGCCAACCTGAGTTCGATTGCCAGCATCCCATATGGTCCCCTGAGCACCGCCAGGAGTAATTCCTGAGTGCAGAACCAGGAATAACCTCTGTGCATTGCCGGGTGTGACCCAAAAAGCAAAAATAAATAAATAAATGTAAAAGATATTGGAAGAGAATAAAAAAGGTCAGACCAGAACTTTATTTCTCTGGTTCTGATTGTTGGCTCATAGCAACATCTTTGGTTCTGGTTTTGAAGTATAAAAGAACTTGGAAATAAGCTTCGGGTGACTGGGGCCGGGGATGTGACTCAAAAGTAATAGAAACATGCGCTGCACGTGTGAGACCCTGGGGATGATCTTCAGTACAGATGTCTTCCACTTGTGCCCACCCCCTTCACCTACTTTCCGAGCACAACCAGGTATAGTCCAGTAGTAGCAATATGGGTTTGGCTAGTTAACTTCGTATGACTGTTTGTATTTCCCGTTACTATGTGGAAGTTTGGACTAAATGGA